CGCTTCCATTCTTCGGACAATGATTCATAGCAAAGTTATGCCACCAATCGAGCGTATTGGCAGTTTCGTGTTGGCCGGTATGGTTTCTCCCACAACGTCATTTTTTCAGTTCCATAAGGCAGGCTGAGGAATGCTATGGGAACTAAAAATAAATATAAAGCCCATGGCTCAATCCATTCCTGGGGTATTCGCCATTCGACTTCCGTTCAAATCGTGGTGGCGTTCTGAATGCACATGTGACCTATGCAATGACTTGAGGTGTGCAGTCCATATACCGTTCACTCCTATACTTCTATGCTTCCAGACAAGCAATCAACCGATTCCTCGAGATAGAAGGCTTCGTTGGTCTGTCCAAACATCGCCCAGACCATGCGTGTGACGGTGCGCCACTTGCCACTACACTACATACATCTTCCATGGTGGAATTACATTCCAACCGTTTCGATTCCAAGCAGATCTTTTAGATCAGTGAAGGCAACAAGCGCAACGAAGATGCTAATTCTGAAAAGAACGCCTGAATCTCATTGTGAGATTGAGATTTTCTCAAGGTTCAGGCAAATCAGACTCATGCTCGACTTACGGGTTCCGATCAAGTCCACGCGGATTCTCATGCCTTTCAAGACTGAAGTTCATTTCAGACTAACCAGTTTTGTTTAGTTTCAGACTTCTAAGCGCTGAGGTGTAAAGCTTCGAGCTTTTTTGACCCAGCAGTCGCCGAGAAGGGTCTTTTATCAACTCTCTATCTATCGCTTTTGACAGTTTTCGAGTGAATTGAGTTCGTCCTTCAGAAGGCGAGTTTTTGAAAGATTCTCATCGACATAGTTGACTAACCTTAATGCGAAACAGGGGAGGTATGTCCTTCGCGGATCAGCGAAGGATAATCAGAGAATCAGGTCGGAGCCCTCTAGGATATCACAATTTATTGTCAGTTGCTGAAGAAAAAAGAACACATTGGGTTAGATTCGGTCTACATCTAACGAGCCCTTTTGCGAGCATGCTTACACAGAATTTCGAAGTCCGGTTAATCCTCTTCAGAGGACTTTTCAAAATAAGATTTCGTCCCATTTCCCTGAATGTTCTTCAGCAAGACAGAAAAGAACTCAAAGTTCCACGTCACACTCCCAATCCGATGCTAGAGATTCCTGGGTTCATCTATGTCACCCAACTCAGAGGCCACTCTAACTGTATCCCTATGTTGTGAAGAGTGTCCTTACCCTGGAGGCCTCGAACAAGTCGGAAAGTTGAGATCCCCTCAGAAGATTTCCCCACGTTCTACACATTCACAAATATCCAGTAAAGTGGAACTGTTGCCTGCAGGAACTCCTTGATCCAAATTCTATGCACTTTATGTAAGAGTGGAGTGAGTGAGTGACAAAATTCGAATTTCTTTCTCAAAAACGGTTCAGGGACAATGAGTCCGATTATTTGGTCGCCAGCGGCCGACGAATGAAAGTAGGAACATTAAGCCCGTTGTCAGTGAAAAAAAAATTGGAAAACCGTCGAACGTTCGCCAAATGTGGGCTTCGATTCGCAGATTATTTTGAGAAGTGTGCTTGAAGACATTGATTTACTTGGCGTTTCCAGGAACTCTCGCTCGTTAATATCACGTCGGATTCGCGAGTTTTCTCCTTCTAAAAACATTGCCTCATCCTGCCCTAAGCTGTCAATCGCCCCTTTCCATTAATCAGATTGAAGGCGACAGGAGGCGTTAGGGATCTGTACTCTACGCCTAGTTACGTTGCCACGGATGCACTGCCAGAGCGTTAGAACAAGGCATTCGAGCACTTTCCGTAAAGTGTAAGTCCCATCTATGATTTTCGAATATCGTGTCCTTCTTGAAGGAATTCCTAGTTTTTGAAAAATGTAAAGGTAAATCGATTATTGCCTACACCAATACCATTTGTGGTGCTTTTAAAGGACGCAGAAAGCAGCTTAGGTAGGGCCTAATAAGAATTTGAAGGTTGTATCAGCTGTATGCCACGCCCACAGGAGGACGAGTTTTGACGCCTTTCCCTCTGCAGAGGCCTAACCATTGGGGAGGGACACCCTTCTCACGTTGGAAGTTGAAATAACTAATCGTGACCCATGACGACATTAGTGTAGGAGGGCAGTTTTGGTCATTTTTGGCAAAATGTTGTCAGCTCTTTATTGCAACGAATTCGAACGCCCCTTCCATAACATTTCCATCATGGCAATCTCGATTTTCCCTACCATCTGGAAAGCTTGTTTTTCGTTAGCTCGATGGATTTTCTCTCCTCCTTCGTCACGATGCACTGCTCTCTACCAACGCTTCCGCTTTTCAACTTGATAGGGAACCTCAAAATTATCGTGAGCTGTGTCATTGAATTGGCGAATTGGGTATGAAATGTTTATTCTCGAGTTCTTCTGTGTTCAACTGGTTAGTGTGCGCACCATAAAAGTTGAAGCTCAGGTTTTCATGCGAGATTATTTTATTAACAAACACATTAGCTGTTGAACTGTTGTGAGTATGGACCGTAGGTTGGCTAAACAAGCCGCACGACAACTGATGGAGCCCCAAAGGTACGTATGGGCTCCTAGGGGCGAGGAACTATGTGCTAAGGATAGAGCTTAACGCTTGTGTAGGACTGTGACTTTTCAGGCCTTTTCTGCTGCTTTTACACTTCCCCTTCACTTGAGTTCAAGACCACGCCTAGATCCTAAGTGCATGTAATTTCAAGAGTAACATGATTCAATTCCTGGTAGCTCCTCTCTCCGATTGACGTTAGTATAGGAGAAAACGACAAAAACAAATGTTCAGTGTCCCGATTCTCCGATCGGACATCTGGGGAAACCAATAATGTTTTTTTGATGCAATCGATGCGTCTGTGAGGGACATCTGGCAGCATCTTCCGTTCCCATGTAGCAGGCTGATTCAACGAGAGTAGGGGGGTGAGGTGCTTTCGTCTGCCATTTTGTACTTATCGAGTACCGTATTCGAGACCCTCTATCCTTGAACCTAAGGCTTAACGTCATGTCAAAATATTTCCCCAAACGATTTGTTCTCAGTCCAATAGATCCTAGTCCAACGGCACCGAGAACTTTGTTCGCCACTCCGGACAACTACGCTTTCATCTACTACAATCAAAAGTATCGAAGTAAAGATCTGATGCTATTTCTGCACCTTGTAGGGTGCCTGCAAGTGTCCTAATTGGGTATTCCTTATGCTGGTACTGTAGTAGGGCGTAACTACAATTAGGACATTGATTAGCACCTCTTTGACAGTCACTTTTCTAACAAAAATCTGCCTCATGCATTTCCGGGTGAGACGTGTTAGCACCCTCATAGGGATGCCAAGGTATCTAATGACCGTCAAATTTATGGAAGTATGGTCTCGGCCCATGGGATCATCGGAATAAACCTGGATCCTTAGCCTTAGGTCACCACCAACTTGCTGCGTTCTAACGCTCGTGACTCACATACCATGCAACTTTATGACGTCAAAGAAAGTTGTAAAAGGCTTTGCAGTAAATAGATTTACTCCGTAACTAGAAGAGTCCACCAGACAGTTCTGGGAATTCCAGTCAGTACGAGGATCAACCTCGATTCCCTCATGACTAGTCTTGAGGTGGAACAATCAACGGTGAGATGGATCCTCCCACTCGTAATGTCGTTCTCACAATCAGTTGGTAGAGCATCAAGTCCATGGCCTATAAGCGATCCCATTACTATCCTCGCTCCATCATATGAACACAGAAGACAGAGGGGCGAGCGCTGAACAGTGAAGAAGGTGATAAATATACTCAACGATTTCGAGATCGCCGCCTTTGATAACCCACGTTCCTTTTCATTCCTTCTCCTCTGCCATCCTTGCTTATATGTAGCAACCAACAGCAGACACCATAGACAAGTTCACCCTTCCTCCTTCCTTTCTGCTCCAGTATCACAATTATTCGTCTGCTGACAGTAATAAGGCAGAATTACGATTTGATCGTGCCATTATACAAATTAGTCCTTCTGGCTATCAATCGTAAAGCTGGTAGGAAAAAAAAACGGCTGAGGGAAAAAGAAAATAAATGGTTTTTAATATAAGTGTAAAGTGTAATAACGTGGTTGTAATGGCACTCGCTTGCTCCTAAGCACGAACCGTTCGTATGTTCTTAGTCATTTTCCAAGGCTTTCTCATCGCACTATAAAGTGATTGTGAAGAAAGGACTTTACACATCAGGATGGTTAGGACGCTGAAAGGGAGGCGGGAGGCTACACAAGGAATGGGCGTAATCAAACTCACGACATCGGTTACCGGTACAATATAACCCTAACCACATGCGCTATACACAATATCCCTAGTGAAGTGCTATTACGATTATTCCACGGATCTCCTACACCGTGGGCTCTTACTTTCTAAAGGATCTTCCGCCGGTTGCTAACGGGGCTCCATTGAGCGACTCCATGTGGCGAATAGGTTAGTAAATCGTAGACCAAAACTTACCAATACTTGCCCAGGGGCACCGACGAATTAAGCGAATGGACTCCCTGTTTGTGGTTTACCATCACCATCTGTTGGACACCAATTGCTTTTCTCTATTTGTGCAGAGCTCATATTGTGCCGGTCCTTAGGTGCTAGTTGTAGCTCCCGCTAGATTCCACTTATTCTCCTTCAGAAATTTGGTGGTCAGACATGAATCATTTGTCCCGAAAAGAAGAATGAAGGGTCAGTCGTGCATTCGATTTCTGCAACAGGAAGGGAGAGCTAAGTTCACGGCATCGAATCCAATTCGAATCTTTCGTTACCGCTTGCGGAATGCTACTTCCCTTTTTTGGAAAATTGACACCAATCTTAAAATTTTATCGTCACCTTATACGAAAGTGTTTTGTAAGAAGAAAATGTTGTAGATGAAATAACGATGCGTGCTTCTTCTTCAAATGACCGAACACCAAGTCTTTCCCATATTTTTCACATCCACGTGCGGTCTAAGAAGACAGTTACCCGGTCAAAAACACAAAAACAGCAGTTTATTAAGCAACAAAGCGCTTAAAAATTACAGCTTAATTTGGCTCTGCACTTCGAATAGAGTCTTCCAACTTTTGTGGAGCTGTGCAATCTCTTCCTCATTGAGATTCTGTTTGATTATGTGGGTGACGCCGTTTGTTCCAACAACGCATGGAAGTGATAGATAGACGTCGTCGGTTATACCGTGAAGACCCTTAACAGATGAGAATTCAGCCTATCATCTATTACAAACTGTTATTGTAAAACATTATCATTGATAAGGTTACCTTGACATTGATGGAAAGAGCAAAGACGTTCCTGGAGTTGCTCAAAACTCCCTGAGCAATTCGAGCAACGGAAAGTCCAATTGCCCAGGATGTATATCCTTTCAACTTTATGATTTCATAGGCACTGGAGAGAATACGTTGGAGACGGAACACAATATAAAGGTAAATAGAATAAATAAGCAAATAAATAAGTAAATGAAGATGATGAGGATGCTAACCTGCCAACGACTTTCTTATGAAGATCTATCTGCCATTGTTCCCTACCTTTAGGGGCACCAACAGCTTGAGCAACCTGAGCAAGTGAAACACCAGCAATGTTCACGCCAGACCACACAGCCACTGAAAGCACCGAGTGAACGTACTTTGCACCATTCTCGCCCACCACAAGGGGTTACTTCAGGGGCTTACAGTCATTCAACTCGATCCGCTGCGACAGTCAGAAATCCTATTTGCTTTTACGTCTCTAGGAGATCTTTTACCATAGCTCCCATTAAGAGTATTTCGGCCCAGGCCCCTGATTCGGGTTACGGTCCTTCAATGCTTGGTGTAACAAAATCCCGCCGAATGTTCAACCAGCGTGCTACGGCCAAGCCAAGGATGTCAAAGGATTGATCGTGCTACTCATGAGGCTCAAACAATACACGCAATAGTACTCGCCAGTTATACTCGAAAAGAAGTGGTTTTGGTTTTCTTGGGCGGTTTCTGGGAACTGTGGTTTTCTACCTCAGATGGTCAAAAATTACCACTAGAATCGCCATGTTCTCCAATAATCCATCCATGGCAGGAGGAAGGAGCGATTTTGAGCTTCTCGGACAACAAGAAACGGAATCTGCAAAACGAACTGTAGTAGGAGTGCTGTCAGCATTTGTTTTACGTTTCTCACCTTGCCGAGTCAAGGTTTGTGCCAGATCCGAAAACACGCTCTCTCGGAAGACCGGACAGCTTCCATGCAACGTATGTGAGCACGTCAACTGAATGAAACAGTTCAATTAGTATAACTTACTACTATAAAAAACAAATTCAGGTCTGACTACGTATGCATACATGTTTACAGAATCATAATAGAAGGTACACCAGACCTACACCTCCACAAGTGCGCAACCTAAACCGTCTTAGCAATTGCTAGAAGCAGCTACATCCACCATATTTGGATTCCGCTTGCAAATGCAGTCACACAACCACTCAATAGGCCAATTTCAACGCAGGTCACTGAGGAGTGGATAACTTGGCTGATCTTGGCATGAATTTACGACGAGGGTTTCCATTATCGCATCAAAGACCTTGTAATATGCCTGCAGGCCTACGAGCTGCTCAGCTGGATTGACTTTTCAAATTTTGACAACCCGAGTCTGCCCAGATTTCGTGGATGGTGTTGTGATGATTTTTTTCATTTTTTCGCAGTGACAGCAGGTCTACGAAATCAACAGCAATCTCAGCTATACACTTGATTTCACCTGGTTACTTTTAGCCCATCATCTTTCCCTAATTGTCGTCGAGAAGTAGGTAGCGTCTATACTTGTTAGAGCTGATGTTTTCATCATAGTGTTCATTCGGTACAGCTCTAGCAGTGTACTGTGCTAGCGCTATACGTATACCGCTTGGTAGTGGATGTGGTCTTTCTAGGGCAAGCCCTTCCGGGAAAGGAGATGAAGTGTAAATCTTACCTGGGTTAGCCACTACTAGAATAAGAGTGTCCGGTGAATTCTGTACGATTTTCGGAATGATTCCTTTGAAAATTTCAACATTTCTCTGCACCAACGACAGTCTCGATTCGCCTTCTTTTTGACGTGCTCCGGCCGTGATAATGACTAACTTTGATCCAGCAGAGACCGCATAGTCTGTATCAGACCACAATCAAATACAGAAGACATTTTCCTTTCAAAATAGGCACCACGAACAAATTAATACTCAACACTCTTTACGACCCATTTACAAATAAATCTTTTAAGAAATTAGACTTTCCCTGTTTATGTGTCCCGCTCATCCGACTGCTTTCACGGAATAAGCTCGATTTGCTCCCCGACGGTTGGTTTCGTTGATAGGGAAGTCCCATTTCTGTAGAATAACTATGTTTTCAGGCAGTTCGAGGAACACAAAGAACAGGGGAAGTCGTAAGAATTGAAATTTTGTTGGAATGGTAGTCAAACGGTTCGTTACAGTATGGGAGCCAATGACGGCAGTCTCCAAAGAATTTCCAAAAACATGCTCACCGGTACTAGCATCAACAACACAGCGGCCTGCGAATGCAAGGCCATGCTGAAGATCCATCATTTCTCCCTTCACTCTGTCAGCAACCACATCCACCAAACATAATTCACTTGCTGAGCCCTGGGATATGTCCGCAATAATGGTGAACACCACAATTGAAAGGTAACAAAAATGTTTACTTGCTTAATAACGAAGATGTTTGGTGCTATGAACTAACAATAAGTCAAGATTATTAGAAGAATCATTTATTAGATTGGTGGGTAAAATACGGACTCAACAGCTTTCTATACTGTCCCTCTGGGCTCTGAGTTTAGCAGTTTCGAAAGAGGCGAGCATTGGATCGGGATCGAACGATGGAAGATACCACCGAACAAGGCCATGCAGTCTAACAACAGCCATGCAGTCTATCAACAAAGCGATTAACCTCTATTTGATTCAAAAGACATGAGGCATTTAAAAGGTCAAGTTGAATCAGAAAGTAACGGGGAGCTCAACAAGCTATCCTGATGACAGGTCCATTTCCACAAATAACTAAAGTACATAATAACTAAAGTGTTCTTAGCCAAATTCAAATACTTTTTCAGATGAGATCACGGTCGGAATCGAAGAAGCGTTTCAATGCGTTCTCTACTTTACAACGGCTTTTAAGATGTACAGATCCTATGCCCAGACCTATTTCCAATCACTGCTGGCGGATTTAGCTGTTCTAGGCAAGTGCTGATTCTTGATCACACATGTGTTATCACACCGCTTGCTACCATCTGATCTTGGGGTCAGTCATTCTCCAAAAAGCGAAACTGTGAGAAATGCCCTGTTGGAATGGGGACTGTTGTTAGGAATATCAATTAAATATGTTATCACAGACTTTGCAAACCCTCGCATTGTACGTAGCTCTTTCAGAACAATAGCCAGAGGTTTTCAACAGTACATTCATTCGTGTCAGGTTCTGCATCAAATAGATGTACGTATCTACTGGCGTTCCTCAAACGTCTTCAAGAAGACATCTGCACCAACTGGCGATCCTCTACAACAATTGGCGATCGGTGGTCTTCCACGTGGATAACGAGAACGAGCAGTGCAGCAGCAATCGTGCTGACGAGGAGGGCAGGAAGCAGCAGGAGATGTTTGCTGAACTCGTCGACCGCGTGGAGTGAATGGTGTCTAGCTCACGTTTGACCGCTTCGGCGTCTCCAGCCAACGCAGCCGAGTTCGCGATGAACTCGCTGTCAGCTCGCTTACCTGAATTCGTATACGGTGCGGAAAATGGTTGCACCTTCGAGATCTGGTACAATCGCTATGAAGACGTCATATCCAAGGACGGCGCTGCGCTGGATAAAGCTGCAAAAGCTCGACTAATCGTCTTCAAACTCGACGCCATCACATACGCTCGCTTCACAAGCCACATTCTACCGAAAAGAGCTTGTGAAATACCACTGTCTGATACCGTAGCGACGCTGAAGGAACTTTTATGACACAACACGTGGGTTTACTCGCGATACCTGAAAGCTCAACGTACTGTTAGATTCTTCGCGACTATACTGAGCTTGTCAACCAGCGACGCGCGATGGCCGAATTCAACGACGTTAATTCAGAACAGATGAAATGCCTCGTGTGGAGATGCGAACTCGCCTCTCCCTAATGTGCTGATATCCGGGCCCGTGCCCTTCGCAAGATGGAAGACAACCCCCAAACTACGTTGAAGGAGCTGGCCGCGGACATCCAGCAATTTCGCAACATTCGCCAGGATGCCACTCTCCCTGAGTGGTCTGATTCTTCACACATCAACGCCGTGGGTTCTCAGAACCGAAAACACAACCCACTACCACCATGTTTTCGTTGTGGAGCGAATCACTGGTCAAGG